TATTAATGCAATTATTTCCTTAAGCAAAAAAAAAAAAAAAATAATTATTTGACGCAGAAATGATAATCTATGACGATGCATTAGACTTTGTTCATATTCTAATTTCAAATTTATTTTTACTATAAGATTTTACAAATTATATTATACAATAATATTTCTTTGAAAATGGAGATCATAAAACATTGAAAAATAAAATGAAATAAAATGAAATAAAATTAAATACAAAAAATTTATTGAAAAGAGATTAAAAAAAATTATCTCAAAAAAATGATTCTCACAATTATAATTTATTGCTTAAAAATATTTGTAAGTAGATATTATTTTTCTATTAAAATTATTATAATTATTATAATTTTTAAAGTAACATTATTTATCTTAATATTTATGTAATTATTTATTTAATACATAAGGAAAAAAAATTATTGCATATCATTAAATACGTATTAATCTTATTTTGATTAGAGAAATATAATATGAATATAATGGTAATAATTTCATTTAAAAAAGATTTTATTCATTGCATTAATATTGTCTCATTGATATTTAATTCATTGATAAGATGCCAAACTTCGTGATATGTTAAAATGATATAGATAAAAATGATACGTAAAAATTTACTTCGTTTGATAAAATTAATTTTAATAAAAATTTCTATGTAAAATATAATGAATTATATAGTAATTTTTTTTTAACGAGAAATTTTAGAATGTGTAAAATCAATTTTAATTTTTATAATTTTTATATCTTTTGAATTTTATGATCACAATTTTGTATATATATTTCATATTTTTCATAATAGAATAATAGCATTAAAATCTGAATATTTTATAATTTAAAATTTTATTCTATTTCGTGTTAATACAAAATATTTTAAAGATTATTTTATATTTAAAAGAACAAAAAAAAAAAGCAAAAATATTGATATGTTTGATTGATTTTATCTTTTTGAAATAATATTCCACTAATAAAAAAATTTTTTCATATATAATTTATTATATTTTACATATTTCAATTTTATTAAAAATGAAATTATTATTTAATTTTGATAATAATTTCTAATTGTATTAGAAAAATTAATCGATTTCTATATTACCGATGGAATATACATTTACATATGAGAACGTTTGAGAACAGCAGAACGGTTACGAATAGTGAAGTGAGTGGATGTATAAGAGAGAGTAAGATTTTTATTTGTGAAAAACGATTTATTTTTCAAGCGATTCTTTTGAATCAAAAAAAAAATAGTTATTTTAAAAGAAAATATAATTTATAATTTACATATTATTTTGTCGTATATATTTTTTTATATTGAAAATTAACAGGTTATGGATTCAAGTCCATGCTTATTGCGTGCTAAATAAAAATTTAAGAGAAAAATAATAAATAAATAAAGAATTTCTTATAAAAATAAAAAAAATCAATGAAATATATTACAAAATTATATTATAAAAAATCATAGAATATTTAGAACAAATCGACAAATTAAAAGTTATAGATGGATTTAGAAATTTCTATTAAATCTTATTAAAATCGCAAGGTTTGTATCAATATTTGATTACTGAACTAGCAGTATTGAAATTAGATTAAAACTAGAAAATAGCTTAGAATAGAAAATGCAAAATTTAATAGTATCGATGATAGAAAATCAATCTTTAATAAATATAATCGCATATTTTATGAACAAAAAATATTGGATAAATTCAAGCATGATCATTAGTATCTATCTTTACTACTAGATGGCCACATAAATCATCGCGTTGATATTGATCAATCACAATTTAATTCGTCGATCTTTAGTATCAATTATCGCCGCAAGATAAACAATATTTTGCAACTTTTATTTATAATTTATTATTATTCGTACTATCATTCGTGTCAATTCCACTATTTACATGCCGGAACGTGTAACAACATTGCACAGAAAAAAGATATTAATTCTATTTGATCAAACTATTTTATTTTAGATTTCATAAGGCATATGTACATTAATAAGCGTCGGATGATTCAATTATATGCAAATTTATTTGAAAAATAATTTGATAATTTTATTCGTTGTTTTACATAGATATTTTGATATCTTATCTAGATATACTTTAATTAATTATTTGTTATCTTTATAATGATTATTTGTTAGATAAATTCTGTATTTATTGATTTTACTACCAAATTTACTAAAGGATTAATATTAATTCAATATTTATTGAATAGAAATATTTTTTAATTACATATTTTTTTTAAAATTTAAAAATAAAACGTAATTAAAATGCAAATAAATTTTATAATAAAAATTTGATAAAAAAAATATAAATTTATCAATTTTTGTATAAATAAATGCAAAAATTATTTTAAAAATAATAAATAAACATTTATAATTAAATCTAAAAATTTAATTATTGTTACAATATCTGAAGTTCTTTTTTCTTAATTGAGGAATTATAATTTTTATAATTATACTAACATAATTTATTATTTTTATTAAATCTTTAGATATTTATCTTGAATATATTTCTTATTTTTTGTAAGTTGTATAACTATGCATTTTTTAAAACTTTCTTGACTTAAAATTATATTTTTTGAAAAATTATTTATATAAATCAAAGACCATTTATTGGATTCCAAATACTTTCTTGGTATATTTTATATCTATATTTTTTTTTCATCTGTGTTTCATCTCAAAAGAAATGAAATATACATATATTTTTTATTTAAAGTTGCATAATATATTGTTGTATTTGATTAAAGTATATTTGTTTGAAATTTTTAAGAAAAATATGTAGAAACATATTTTCTAAGTTGTGTTGATTCGTTACATTTCATAATATAAATATTATATTTATAATTGTTTTATTTGTTGTATTGTTCACCTTTTACAATTTTAATATTTAACATTATTTATAATTTTTAAGAAACATTTTTAAAATATACATTAAATTACTTATATAATATTAAAAAAGAAATTATAATAATACTACATAATATAATAGATTTTTTATTAATTCATGACAGATGGAAATATTTACCAAATTTACTATTCCGACTTGTATTAGAAACGACCAGATGGGTCATTTTTGATAACTTGAATAAAAATGCACTGCATATTTATCAAAACATCTTTGATAAATTATATGGCTATAGATATTATCGCTAGAAAATATACATATATAAATATCCCCAGAAATAATAATGCTAGGGAACATTAAGAGAATGCTGAATACAAAAGCGGCTTCTTTAAAGAATTTTTCAAGACAAAATTTTATAACTGAATCATATATAGATATCATATAGATATATTAGAAATCAGAGAGAAAAATAGAGGAAGCAAGCCTAAAAAAATAAATCAAATAAAAAAGAAGATCTCCTTATAAGCTTAAATCAAAAGTTTAAACAATAAATTCGAATAATTGAATATAAAAATTTCTGCTTAGCAAAACAGTTAAATAAATAAATAATAAAATGAAGTTTCTGTTAGAAATTAGAAGAAAGAGATAAATTTAGATGATACATGTAAAAACTCATGTAACAATATGTAAAAAAATATGAATTATCAGCTCAAAAATAAAATATTCTATGAATATTTAAAAGATGAATAATATTGCACATCGGGATAGATTCTAGATAGAATCTGGGATGATACTTTGTAAAGTATTTCCTGGATAACACATGTTATGGCAAAACAGAAAATATTTAAACAGTAAATATATTGTAAATTCTATTATTAAGATATTAATGAAAGATAGATTGTTTTCTGAAAAGATTCTCGTTCTAATTTTTTCAAGTTTGATCCAATAATAAACAATATACAATACAATTTATTTTTAATTATTGATATTTTTTTTTATTGTTATTTATTGCATAATGGAAATATATTAATATGTAAAATATTATTCATCATTATGTAAATAGTTTAAAAAACTATAGAAATATTTTTCATTTACAATATATTTGCTGTAATAATATTTTATAAAATTATTTTATATACATTATATAAATATATTATAAATAATATATTATAAATATATATATTATACAATATATATATTATATAAATATTAATGATATAAAACATAGAAATAATAAAAACATAAAATATATCGATTCAACAAATGTAAAAGATATATAAATTTTAAAATTTATTACTTATTAACAAGTAAACTAATATTTATTTCATCTAATATTATGAAAATGCATATTTTTATAGAAGAAAGATAAAAACATGAAACTTAAATACAAGTTTATTATCATTTATATTCATTATAGATATTTATTATTATATTTATTATTATATTTTTTAATTTATATATTTTACATAATGTATGTATTTCACATATTTCATTCAAATAAATAAATATAATTATTTATTTCATTTATATTTTACATATATCAATATTTCATTTAAAAAAAAAATATGTCAATATGTACAGAAAATATCAATAATTTTGAAAATAGTAAGTGGAATCATTATATTCGTCATTCCAAACCACACAATTTTATTTTGACACAATTTTTTGTATCGACAAAATAACGAAGATAAAACTAAGGAATTCATGATAAACAAAATATTCTGAATTCGTACATAATATACTAAAATCAAAAATTAATGTTTATTTAATCACATGATTCATCACATTGTTTGATACATTGTTTGATACAATATAATATATGCCAATAATGAAATGCATCAATAATGAAATAACAAAATAGTATAATAAAATTAAGAAGCTTCTTAAAACAACATTTATTTTTTCTTTTATTTAAATTTATTTATTGTTAATTTATAATTTAAATTAATAACACAATGCCTAAAACAAAAAATAAATAATAATAAATAATAAATAAATAATAATAAATTGGATTATCATAATCGATTATAAATCTATCACTATTATTATTGATATATATAATAATTTTGTTAATAATGGACAAGCTGTTTATTGTAAAATATACGATAAAAAATATCTTTTTGTTTAATTATTTTTTTCAAGTTAAGTAAAATAATATTAATTTAATATATATTATTATTATTTATATATATCATTAATATATATTAATTATTAAAGATTAAATATAAAAAAGTTGCTATTAATGCAGCATGTGATTATAATTATATATAAGATATATTTACAAGAAGAATGCTATAGAAAACATTAATGCACTAACAATTTATTAAAAAAAAAAAAAAATTAATTTTATCTTTATATCATGTATATCATGCAATAATAAATAATTTGCTGTCATGAATAATGAAATACAAAAAAATTTTGTCAAAAAAAATGCTATAATAAAAAGAATTGGAAAAAATTCTAAATAATATTGATGAAAATTGTTTAAATATTCATAGATAATGAATAATACAAAACAAATTTACATTGTAAATTTGATTATGAAAAAATTGTAAAAAAATACATCATTATGCTATAGTTCTTGGCTTGTAGATACTTAAAAATAAATTATGGAATGATTATATGATTTGCAAATTACAATGAAAGTTCTATAGTCAACTAGAATTGGAAAGAAAATGTTACTAATATACGGCATACATATTGAAATTCGGTAAGCATTTAAAAATATTTTATTAAAATATATTTCATATAACTTATTTAATCCATAAACTTAATTTAGTTTGTGTATTATTTTATTACACAAAAAAAAATCTTATTGAACAGTTTCATAAAATATGATGTATCGAAAAATACCATTCGACATATTAATTCATGATATATTAGTTATTTTATACGATTTCGATAAATGCTAATCGTGCTTTATGATATGATTATATTATTCATATTTTGGTTTATAAGAATCTTAATGATTTTTTAAATAATATTAGATTGAATATTTCAAATTTTACTAATTTGAGAAATATTTTAAATTATGATTTATCATATTTTTTAATTTTCTTTATTATTTTTATTATTTATTATTTATATATCTTTCAAAAGAAATATGTAAAACAATTTGAAAGATTAATGAAAATTTACCTTGAGAATTATGGTAATAGTGTTGTTTTTTTTATCAATATTAATAAAAGAAAAAATAAAATAATGATAAAGAAATTAAATAATATTTAAATAATATAAAAATATACGATGATATAATATAAAATATATAATAGAAAATATAAATATAAGCTTATATAATAAAACATGAATATATAAATGAATATATAATTGCTAATGTAATTAAATAAATGTTAAAAAAATTTACATCATATATACAATATATTTACAAATTTATTTTTTAATAATCATGTTGTGACTTATTACACATTATTTTTATCAGGATGTAAAATCTTACTTAATTTTTTTAATATCATTCTTTTTTATATAAAAGTAAATAATTTTTTATATTAAAAGTAAATAATTCTAATATATTTTTGTTTTGATATTTATATATATATATATATACATTTATATATTTATATGACAGTTTTCATTTTTGCTTTGAAATTCTAATTCTATTCTAATAATAATAATTATTCTATTCTCTAATAATAATAATTCTATAATAATAATATTTTTAATTTATTTCTAAATTTCGTTTTTATTTCCATTGAAAAATATTTTTCGAATGATCTTAAACATCAAAACTACATCAATCAATATTTCAATAATTCACATTTCAGAAGAATTCATTAATCTAATTATATTAGTTTTTGAGAATCGTTTAATCTCATAATATTTAAAACTTTTCTTCGTTAAAAATCGTTGTGTAAAAATCGTTTCTATATTCCAAAGAATAGGCAACTTGCACATCGACGTATCGATTTATTCTGTCTCTAAACGATAATTTCACATTAAAAGTATTACTAAAAATTGTACAACTATTTGTACAATTTGTTGATAGATATTTTTTATGTAATAGATATTATAATAGATATATCTTATTCTTCTTATCCATTAAAATGTAGTTTTGAAATGCATTTCTATAAATTTCTATATATATTTGTATTATATTGATGTATTAAGTTTATCAAAATAATTTTTTATCGATATAGAAAATAACAGAAATTAGAAATGAAAAAATATTTTTAATACGGATATATGTATTTTTAGTTCCATTTTCTTTAGTTTTAAATATTTATTTTGAAAATATTTTTTTTTTTTTGACAAATTTGTTATTGTTTATCTCATTTTATGTATTTCTAATTTCTTTATTATATTGTCTTTCTAATTATTATTTATATTTATTATTTCATCATATGATTTGGAATTCTTTTTCATTAAATAAAATATTGTTTACAATTCATTTAAATGTTGACAGTTTTTGATTTTTCTACTATGTAATGTTTTTATAATAACTTTTTTATTTTACTTTTTTAGTATTTTTCATTTTCATTAGATATTGTTTTGTGATTTCTATTATATTTTCACTTATTTTTCTCATCTTCATATATTTTATTTTTATTTTATTTATATTTCTCAAATTTCATGTTATCGTGTCATCAATTATTGGATTCTATAATCAATAATGATTTTTGGTATATCCTATTATGCATTTCTTGAATTCTTTATTCGAATTTGTGATTTCTGAGTAAGATCATAAGATTATTTAATTAATCATAAGATAATGTAAACAAAGTTTATTAAAGTTTAAGTTAATATACAGGATATTTTTAAATTATTTTAAAACAAGGCTAACTAAAATTAATTGAAGTAAAGTAATTTTAACTAATTTTTTGTTTTATAAAATTTTTGTTTGGATTTTGTTAACGAATTATTAACAGAAAATATTAGCTACAGAATATAGACATATTGAATTACGACGGTAGTGTTGGATATGAATTAACGGTCGAATTCAAAGAAACAAGTTCAAATAAACATTTTGCTAAATCAAATTTATTCGTTATTCAAAATGAATAATGCAAAATTGTGATATAAAAATATGAATATAAAATTCTTTTATTCTAAGAAATAATACATATAAAAAAATAAACAATAATAATTATACAAATATAATTATATATAAAATAAACAATAATAATTATATATATTAAATTATAAAATAATATTAAATTAAAACATAATGATTAATTGGATTGAACTTATTTAAAAGTTTTGAACTTCAAAATATGCTATTGGATTATCGTATTGTTTGTTAATATTAACAGATAAATAAATTTATGATAATTAAAATTATGATATTAGCGTGTAATATGAAAATTATAGATAAAATATTACTAAAAAAAATATACAGAAAAACAATGTATTATTGAATCAACTTATCTATCATTCATATATATTCACTGAGCTCGTAGATATGTGTGCGTTCACTAACAATGATCAATATATATATAATAT